CTTTTACTGTCTCTACACTCTGAAATCTTGTCCCCTTTAGCTCTGATTTTACTTTTGGAAATAAAAAGTAGTCACAGGGGGCCAGGTCGGGCGAGTAGGGTGGGTGGTCCAACACTGTGATTTTGTGTTTCGCAAAAAACGCTTTCACAGACAACGCGGAATGTGATGGTGCATTGTCTTGGTGGAGCATCCAAGAATTGTTTTTCCACAGTTCGGGCCTTCGCCTTCTCACTCTTTCACGAAGGGTGGACAGGATCTCAATGTAATAATGTTGATTAACAGTCTGACCTTCGGGGACCCAGTGAATGTAAACAACTCCTCGAATATCAAAAAAAAACAACCATCATGGTCTTAAATTTTGATTTTAACATTTTGGCTTTTTTTTGACGCGGTGAACTCGGACTCTTCCAATGCATCGACTGACGCTTTGTTTCTGGGTCATAGGTAAAAAGCCACGACTCGTCGCAAGTAATCACTCTGTCTAACAAATCTGGATCAGCGCTAATGTTGTTCAAAAGGTCAACACAAATGTTCATTCTCAATTCCTTTTGTTCTGCAGTGAGAAGTCTTGGCACCATTTTTGCGCAAACTTTTCTCATGTTCAATGATTCATGCAAAATCTGACGGATACTTTCTCTATTAATTCCTGAGACTTCAGCAAGAACACGGATACTCAGACGACGATTTTCACGGATCAATTTACCAATTTTCTCGATGTTGTCTTCTGTTTTTGATGGTAAAGGCCGTCCAGAGCGTGGATCGTCTTCAGTCATTTCACGACGTTCTTTAAACCTTTTACACCATTCAAAAACTTGTGTGCGCGATAAACACTCACTTCCGTACACTTCCTTTAACATAGCATGGGCTTCTGTTGCGGTTTCTCCGAGTTTCACAAGAAACTTAAGGTTAACTCGTTGCTCCATTCGACGGCAAGTTAAAACAAGAACTTACTAAAAATTATGGCGAGACTGAGTACTGCACAAACGCGCGAATCGAGATTATGTTAGTGAAGGTATGAACAAGCACAGACATGTTCAGATCTGCTGCGGCCGGCTCGCCGTTTGCCAGTAGCAGCACCAATCCGGTTATTTTATTGCCACACCTTGTATATATCGAAGAAGATCTGATAATTTGAAAACGCTTTTAAGTGCAGCCAGCGTAAAGTACATAATATTTTAATGCTCGTGAAAATTTCACTTACGAATATAAGGCCGATACGAGATAACTAATTTTCTTTAAAATTAGTTTGTAATTTATATTTGTAATTAAAATTTTTACGAGCCGTACAATATTATGTAACTTACGCTGGCTGCAAGTAAAAGCGTTTTCAAATTATCAGATCTTCTTTGATATATATATATATATACATATTGCGAGACTAACTCCAAGTGCCTCGGTGGCTTAACAGAAAAGGCGTGGCACGGTAAGCCGGAAATTCCAGGTTCGACTCCTGGCCGATAAGTTTTTTTCGCAATTTTTTAAAAAATTAGGTAGGGGAGTATTCGGGGTCTTTCATATGTGAGATGCAAATCCCGCATCCCGTATAAATTTAAGAATTGAATTTTCACTTCAAACAAACTCACTTGTAAAAATTTACAAGTAAT